CATTCAACATTTGGTTCCGCTTGAAATAAGCCGGAAGAACATGACATAGATGACTCGATAGGTAGTTTAGTTTAGTTTTGTTCTGTTTTTGTGCACCGAGGGTGAACAACGCCGGGAGTGTAAATGACGTCAATTGTTATTGCGCAATTTCGCGCGCTTTGTGAACACGTGACACTAAGTTAGGAACGCTTTTTGAAGAGGTTCGACAATCGACAGAACGACAACGTTTGAATTTTATTTTGTATATTTTTATTTATATTAAAGCGTTTAAATTGTACGAGTATACGACATTAATTACAGGGCAAGAGGAATTGGTGGGGAAGCGTTCGACATTGTAACGGACCACCAAAGTTTGACATGGTTACAGGAGCTAAAGGAACGTAGCTCGGTGGATACTCGCCTTGCAGGAGTACGAGTTCGAAATTAACATCAGCCGGGTAAACAGCACAACAACGCAGATACACTTTCCAGGTTCCCTCGAGTGTCACCCGCTCTTGTGCCTGATTGGAGCCCCGATGAGGGCCTGATGTCGGAGTAGCAGCCACGGAAGTGAATGCATCGTGGTCGAAGGAAGAGATAATCAAGGCGCAACAGGACGATCCAAGCACTTTCTAGGTAATGCAGAAGCTACATTGTACTAACACAGCACCAAAGGAGGACGAGGATGGTTGCAATAATAACGGAGAGCGGCGTCGCTACAGGCAGTTATGATCGTGTGGATAAAGGCACACCCACAGAGCGGTTGATGTGGGTGGCCCCAAGTAGAATGCGTTCCGACCTTCTAAAGCTTTCCCACAACGACCCTAGCTCCGGGCATATGGGAGTTAATCGTTGCGTTGAGCGTCTGCAACAACAATATTACTGGCCTGGAATGGCCTCAGAAATGCAACTGTGGATCGCAGAATGTGAAATGTGCGACCGCCACAAGTCTCCAGTGTCACCCCGTAAATCACCCATGAAAAGCATAGAGGTTGGTCACCCAATAGAATTATGGGCAATGGATATCTTGGGGCCACTTCCTCTAACCTCACGGGGAAATCAATACATCTTTGTGATGTCTGATTACTTTACCAAGTGGGTAGAGGCGGTGCCGCTAGCTTACCAAAGAGCCGATACCGTAGCGAAAGCTTTTGTTGACGAAGTCGTGACTCGACTCGGTGTTCCTCGTAAAATTCTAGCAGATCATGGGAGGAACTTCGAAGCAGAGCTCATGCGGCAGGTGTTCCATTTTCTTGGGTGGAAAAATTGCGAATTTCGCCATATCATCCACAAACTGATGGGCAGGTCGAAAGATTAAACCGGACCTTGAAGGGAATCCTCACCGCGTACGTGAATAAAGACCACACTGTTTGGGACGTTTATTTACCTCTCGCCTTGTTTGCATGCCGCAGCAGCCTACATTCATCGTCAGGCCAGTCTCACCATTTAGAGCGCTTTGCAATCGTGAAGCCAGCACAACATTAGTGCTGATGGGCACCTAGACAGAGGCAAAGGAACAGTTTATCTCGAACTACTTTGATGCGTTTGAGAAGTCCCTGAAAGACGTGCAACGTTTGGTGAAAGAAATGATTAGCGAGGCACAGAAGAAGCAGAAAAAGGGATACGATTACCGCAACAACATTGACAAAAGCACGCTGTTTAAGGTGGGAGATTGGGTTTGGCTCAACGACACAGCGGTTCCAAAAGGGCTTAGTCGAAATTAGTTCCACCTACAGTGGTCCAGGCCTTACACGGTCCTAAACCGTCTTGGTGGCACGAATTACCACATTAAGCCCGAATCAGGAAATAGGAAATCTAAAGTGGTCCACCGCAATCGTCTGAAATCAGCCCCTGGCGGACCAAGAGTGGAAGAAGGCATGTCCGCGTGCTCCCCGAAAGAAACCCAACATACCGCATTGCAGACCAACGAACCAATGATTCATCATCAAGAGAATTTAGTCGTGCAGCCTGCCCACCAAGACGGGACCACAGGAGGGCCCAGGCTCGATTTGCCCGCGCCCGCCTGTGCCTTCCTTATAACGAGGGAAGGACGGAGACATTGAGACCAAAATAGCCCAGACTTGGCATATGTCACACGAAACTATTCTCGATTTTTCGCTTTTAATGCATTTCTTTCACGATTAATCGATATCCCCTGCAAGAATGATACCGTATAACTCTCAAAATAACGATGCTTTAATCAAAGCGCTTAAATTCGCTCTGAAATCCGTGAGGGAATAACAAAATTCGGCCAAAATATATCCGCGTGCCGGGTTTGCTGTGCAAAAAGCGGAAATCGTTGAACAACTCAAATTATTATATACACAAGGTCTGAATATGAGGTATTGTGCAATCTGATTGGTTCTCTACTAGCAGGATATTAGCTCATACGCTGCTAGTAGAGAAAAATAAAATGGCGGCCAAACTGAATTTACGATGTTTTGCAAACGATAAAACGGCAAGTTGTCGCTTTTTATAACCTTTACAGGATTAAAAACACAATGAAAAGACTCCCACAAATTGTTTTCAGGCTAGCAAATAAATTTTTAATATTTAAAATGGTTGAAAATATATATTTTTGAAAAAATAATCGGCCGAAAGAGCGAAGATAAAAACATAAACAAAATAGA